GCCATACCCAGCATGTAACACAGTGCAAGAATCGACCCCGTCCTTCCGGTAAGCAAAAGTCTGCGGGGGTGTCCTCATGTGGTTGAACAGGGCGACCAGTGGAGATGAGGAACCTTTCCTTGGTGGAGGCTGCGCGGCTTCCAAGCTCGCCCCGCTCCATTGGGATGTAGTAGGCTGGGCGCACATCTCACCGTAGCTCCCTGCCGTCTTGGTGGCACGAGCGCTAGACCCAAATTGCAAGAGCTTGTTGAACGCGCTCTGGTACGGGTTGACTTTGCTTTTTGATTTCTCTCTCATTGTTGCATTTGAGTCGGACAACATGCCAAGGCTCAGCAAGAAGTCGTATACAGGCTTCATCAAAGTTGCCTAGCAAGCCGTACCAGCAACGCCCAGACCAATCTCCTGGCAGCTTGTGTGCGTTGCGGACTTGGTACTTGGTTCCAGTCAGCAGAGCAACGGTGAAACCATTCTTCCGGTGTGGCGCTGGCAGCAGTCACAGATTCTTGGCTTCAAATACCTGCAGCAGCGGGGTCACTTGGGTCTTTTGGTTCCTGGCAAAGACTAGAAACACGTGAAAAATTAACACAAGGTTAGGAAACTGTTCACGCATGGTCCGCGGGAACAATTTTCAGTTTGAACAGCCGCCTCAGGACTTGAGCCGCTCCCTCCTCAAAGCTTTCCTGCTGCAGCTTGGACATCGCATTCTCCAAGATGACTGTGTCCAACTCTTGCCCCAAAGCTTCTGCGTGTCCAGTCATGTCATGGTAGACTTTCTGGTCTGGGCATAGTTGACATTGACCGCTACCAAAGTCAGAGGCGACGGTGCTGTGGCAAAGATGGCGACACGCGCGCCATTCGCCAAAGCACACATCAAAGAAAGACAACGCAAAGCGTAAGGAAATTTAGGATGCGCAGCTCTGACAGAATAGCTTTGGCAAAACTGGTGGCCGGCTTCTCCAAGGACATACTTAGGGTCAAAACGTCTGTCCACCTCATCCCACATCAGCTTCATGGCGGGCAAGTACTGCCCATCTTCAGGAGCCCCTGACATGGCTCCGCGCGAGAAGCTGCGAACTACCAAATTTGAATCGGGCTACCTGAAGCCGCATCACAATTATAAGATCTAGCCAAAGATGGTCACGCGTTACAAGCACCACAGCCCGTTCGAAAAAAGTGCTACGTACCTATGGCGCTCCCAAACTTCAAGCACTAAGCGTCCGAACATTTTTGGCTTGCTACGCAACCTCAGCATCCAAAGAGCCAGCTACCTCCTCCGGCCTGTACCCTCCCTGCAAAATGATTTCATTGTGGCTCCACGCCATGTCGAGCAAGAAGAACTGAAAACCGTATTCGTTCATGTGCTTGGTTTGGTGCTTGTATTTGCTGAGCCATGTGAAGGTGAACTCGCAAACTGAAGTCCTGACACCAGCGAGAAGAGCGGAGTTGGATGGGAGCTCCGGGTCACATATGCGCTTGCACCAAGCATCCGTGCGGCCTGCCATGTGGAACTTGTCGCAGACAAAGGTCATGTGAGGCGGCGCCAACTGCGCTGCAGCTTGAGAGCGCGCTGCTCGACGCGCGCAATACTTGTGCAAGTGGCACGCATCATCGCGCGCCACTGTCGTCAGGGTCGGCAGCAAAGCTTTGACAGCAGCGACGCAGAAGTAGCGCTGGCTCAGAGACTCGCAGCCATAAATGCTCTTGCGTGTGCAAAATAAGGCCCTCGGACAAGCATACGCAAAGCATGCCCGCTGACTTGGCAAGTTGCCTCTGGGCAGTACTGCTTTCCTTGTGCGTTGAACATGCAACAGACGCTAAATCCGCTGGATCTGAACATTGCTCAAGGTCTGCCACGGGTTCAACCTGCGCCTGCAACAGCGGGGGTGCGGGAGAAGGCCCTGCAGTGTCTGAAGGTTGGGGTTCATGAGTACGCTTGCGAAGTTTTAGCTTCTCCGCCCCAACTTGCCGCAAGTACTTGCTCAAGACAGTGTCTGGCACGGCGGAATCCAAGACCCGAAGCCTCCCTGCGAGGCTCTGCGAGGTTCGATCGATTCCTGGAGCAAAACCATCAATTGCTGCCCATCATGGCTAGACTTGTGTTGTAGAATCTCAACATCCTGCAAACGCGAGCACAGACCCAAGCACGAAGCCCTGGGGTTTTAATTCAAAAGTAGCCCACGGAAGGAGAAGGCAAACAAAATTGAACATTTTTGAAGATTCGAGCCAAGACACGGTGTGAGAACGATCTGCGCCAGGAGCTTCACAATGGCGCAAGCAAAAGCAATGCTTGAAAGCAGGCGTTTTTGTGCAGGTGTGGCGCAAAGTTCTGCGGAGGGTTGGAGAGTAAGAACATCCCGCCAGCGCAGCGGCGCAGACTGCCCTTCGGTTCTTTGCATTGCCATCTAAAACAATAACATCGCACCGCATTTTGGCACGCTGAGCACCTTCCACGGCCTTCCGGCTGAATGCTGCTTGCAATGGACCCAAGAACCTGCACGCTGTGTCCCCCATGGGCGATTGAAAGTCTACCACAGACAAATCCAAGCCGGCTTCAAGCCCACGCGTCAGCAAGCGCCAGGTGAACCATCCTTGGCTGATCAGCAGCCGCAAGCGTGAAGTGGGGAGACAATGCAGCTGCGAATTGGTGGCAGCTTGCGCCGTCAGTACATCGACTTCACTCGTGAATGATGCGTGCTGACGCACCAAACGCAGATGGAACTGGCGCAGCCAAGGGATACTAAAACCAAAGCTCGAGGATAGCATGAAACATTGCAAGAGTGGCAGCTCTCCCTGGAACACACGCTTGCCTTTGCGTACCAAAGAAGCACCCCAAACTCCGGGCATGAAGGCTTTCTACACGGCAGTGGAACATGCAGCTTTTCAACGACTCCACAAAGGCCTATCACTGCCGCAGGCGTGGCAGAGGTTCTAGCTAGCCGGGTTTTGCACTCAGAACAGCTCCGAGGCAGGGGGAGCAACTCTTGGGCACAAGTTTCTCTACCGTAGGCAGCAACTCTGGTCGAGAAGAGAGGTCGCAGCTCAGCTGCCAGATGCAACACCAAACCATCTGAAATCTGCGCAGCCGGGTCTGCATTTCGTATGGCTTCAGCAATCGGGGCGTGGCTAAACCCGTGCGCCATGAAAAGGAAGAGTCGCAGAGAGAAGGCCTTGGGCTCTGCAGTTGCGTGGTTTGTTTCCTTTGCTCTTCTCAGCCTTGCGGCGAACTGTATGAACTGTCTTAGCGTGATGCGTTTGCGCATGGTCATGGTTCTCTCTCCTGTTTGAACATAAAGGCACAGCAGGGGCACAAGCTGCGAACTCTTTCCGTGATCACTATGTCACGTGGTGCAAGTGTCAGAAATCAAGCTGCAAAACCACCGCTGACACCACAAAACCCGGAGCAGGGGCTGCGGCCTTGTCAAAGCGGAAGGCATTCTACGTGTACAGAAGGTGCTTGCAGGAGACACCTTTGCATGGCAGGCACAGGTCACTGAGCAAGATTGCCTTCGTAGATATATACATGTTGAAAAGTACGTCCGTGATCACTGGTCATGTCACGTGGTGCAAGTGTCAGAAATCAAGCTGCAAAACCACCACTGACACCACCAAACCCGGAGCAGGGCCGGCGGCCTTGTCAAAGCCAAAGGCATTCACTTGTACATAGAAGGTGCTTGCAGGAGACACCTGCTCCTGGCAGGCAAAGGTCACTGAGCAAGATTGCCTTTGCAGATATATACATGTTGAAAAGTAAGTTCTAGGACTTTGCTTTCATCCGCTGGTTCGCTGGCCCGCGGATCTGCTGATCCGCTGATCCGCTGGTCCGCTGGTCCGCTGATCCGCTGATCCGCTGATCCGCTAATCCGCTGATCCGCTGATCCGCTGATCCGCTGATCCGCTGGTCCGCT